AGTGACGGCTGTACATGTGGTCAGTGTACTTGTATACTCGAGTGACGGCTGTACATGTGATCAGTGTACTTGTATACTTGAGTGACGGCTATACATGTGGTCAGTGTACTTGTATACTCGAGTGACGGCTGTACATGTGATCAGTGTACTTGTATACTCGAGTGACGGCTGTACATGTGATCAGTGTACTTGTATACTCGAGTGACGGCTGTACATGTGGTCAGTGTACTTGTATACTCGAGTGACGGCTGTACATGTGGTCAGTGTACTTGTATACTCGAGTGACGGCTGTACATGTGGTCAGTGTACGTGTATACTCGAGTGACGGCTGTACATGTGATCAGTGTACTTGTATACTCGAGTGACGGCTGTACATGTGATCAGTGTACTTGTATACTCGAGTGACGGCTGTACATGTGATCAGTGTACTTGTATACTTGAGTGACGGCTGTACATGTGGTCAGTGTACTTGTATACTCGAGTGACGGCTGTACATGTGATCAGTGTACTTGTATACTCGAGTGACGGCTGTACATGTGATCAGTGTACTTGTATACTCGAGTGACGGCTGTACATGTGATCAGTGTACTTGTATACTCGAGTGACGGCTGTACATGTGGTCAGTGTACTTGTATACTCGAGTGACGGCTGTACATGTGATCAGTGTACTTGTATACTTGAGTGACTGCTGTACATGTGATCAGTGTACTTGTATACTCGAGTGACGGCTGTACATGTGATCAGTGTACTTGTATACTCGAGTGACGGCTGTACATGTGATCAGTGTACTTGTATACTCGAGTGACGGCTGTACATGTGATCAGTGTACTTGTATACTCGAGTGACGGCTGTACATGTGATCAGTGTACTTGTATACTTGAGTGACGGCTGTACATGTGGTCAGTGTACTTGTATACTCGAGTGACAGCTGTACATGTGGTCAGTGTACTTGTATACTCGAGTGACGGCTGTACATGTGGTCAGTGTACTTGTATACTCGAGTGACGGCTGTACATGTGGTCAGTGTACTTGTATACTCGAGTGACAGCTGTACATGTGATCAGTGTACTTGTATACTCGAGTGACGGCTGTACATGTGGTCAGTGTACTTGTATACTCGAGTGACGGCTGTACATGTGGTCAGTGTACTTGTATACTCGAGTGACAGCTGTACATGTGATCAGTGTACTTGTATACTCGAGTGACGGCTGTACATGTGGTCAGTGTACTTGTATACTCGAGTGACGGCTGTACATGTGGTCAGTGTACTTGTATACTCGAGTGACAGCTGTACATGTGATCAGTGTACTTGTATACTCGAGTGACGGCTGTACATGTGATCAGTGTACTTGTATACTCGAGTGACGGCTGTACATGTGGTCAGTGTACTTCTATATTCCAGTCATGGCTGTATATGTGATCAGTGTACTTGTATACTCGAGTGACAGCTGTATATGTGGTCAGTGTACTTGTATACTCGAGTGACGGCTGTACATGTGGTCAGTGTACTTGTATACTCGAGTGACGGCTGTACATGTGATCAGTGTACTTGTATACTCGAGTGACAGCTGTACATGTGATCAGTGTACTTCTATATTCCAGTCATGGCTGTATATGTGATCAGTGTACTTCTATATTCCAGTGACGACTGTATATGTGATCAGTGTACTGTATTCAAGTGACGCTTGTACGTTCGATAAACTCTAGTACCTTTCAAGGGGACATTATTGAAAAGGGAGACTATATCAGTTGATGAAATGTAATGTCCCATTGAAAGAAACCATTGAAATAATCAGGGACCGTTTTACAGAGAAGAATCTAGAGTTTATTCAAAATGAGAATACAGGCCGCAAAGATTACCCCTCTGCAATAGCAAACCATCTTCTAAAATCTGGTCACGTGGTAATGAAGGACAACGCATTTCAAATCTTTCATATTTAAACCAGTGGCAGAACGCTAGGATTTATCGAAGCTTCTGCGATTCGTCAACTGCGTAAGGAAATCTGTATACAGAAAGAGATGGTTCTTTCTTTACGGCTGCCCTGGTAACAACAGGCAGTCATGGTTGATCGTTGTTGAAATTGTACTTCAGTTATAAAGGATTCACTTATTTGCTTCATGTATGTAATTGTTACTGACGAGATACAGCGAAATATGCCAGGCAATAAACTGTGCAATCTATTGTTTGTGTCTTCTTTGTTTAAATTTACAACAGGGAAACATTGCTTTGAAACTCGAGTAGGCCGAGAAATACAAACTGTTTATCTCAGCTTGTTAAACCATGAAATAGTTTTAATTATAACCCAACAGCTGGTACACACGCAGCAGTGCATTTAACTTTATTTCTTCTCTGGTCCTGGTGTAAGACGGGTCTGCGAGCCCATTAAGTGATCCTTTGAATGAAAAAAAAGTTTTTTGGTTCGATCTTTCATTGGCCGTTCAGCGTCAGGTTTTGAATAGACATAGATGACAGCCTGATTACGTGCTTTGTAAATTACGGCCTCGGATATTCCATCTGTCTATCGCTTGTGTGGTCTACCTTTAGGTCTGCTTCGGTTATGTCAAAGTGACAGGGTGTCCTGTCGTGCACTGTGTGGTGGTACCCTTGACACATGTCTGAACCATCTGATCTGTTGTCTCTTGGTGTAGTTCAATACTGGCTCCATTTCAACTTCAGTCCGGATGTCGTCATCTGATCCTTTTTCTTCTAGTCACATTTAGAATTCGTGTGTGACATTATATTTCTGTTGATTGGATTTTTTTTTGTTCTTACACTGTTAATTTCCATTTTCGTCACTGGTAAGACAATCTTGAAAAATGTACTGTATTAAATTGTCATATTTTGGTGTCAATTGTTCTGAGAAATTGATGACATCTGCCCCAAAATCGCACCTCAATTATGTTTAATAATTATTATACAAACAAAAGCAATCCCTCTTCCAACTACCCATTCGTTCCTGTGATTCTGTTTTTTTTTTAAAGTTGGTGTGTGTGTGTGTGTGTGTGTGTGTGTGTGTGTGGGGGGGGGATGTTTACTAGGACTGACTCTGGTGCAAACATCGTTTTCATGTTGTGTTTAAAAATATATCTTTGCACCTACTCGCCATCAGGTGATCTCTAGGTGCTGAAACGTAGGAGAACTGATCTTTAACAGTCCTAGTTTATATATGTTTCAGATTTCAAACACAATCCTCTGAAACTAGGATTAAACACCTTCCTTGCGTTGGCGTCGATAATGTGCTCACTCATGTATGTTGGACGGTTTGTGTGTGCGTCAGCAAATATACTCACACCAACGTTGATACATTGATATGTCTGTTGTTTCCTTCAAATTCTCGTGTTCTCTGTCGCTATCCCTGTCAGGTTGTTTCTGTATCCACCTCTCCTTCTTTCTCTCTGTCTCTCTCTCTCTCTCTCTCTCTCTCTCTCTCTCTCTCTCTCTCTCTGCGCCACATCAGACGTTTATTATAGACAGAGGAAGCTTTTTTATTCGAATATGTGAAAGTGTGTGCGTGTGTGTGTGTGTGTGTGTGTGTGTGTGTGTGTCTTTGTATGTGTGAATGTGAAATGAAGTGTAGTATGTGATTGTATTCACTTCCGTGTGCATGCTAGATAGTATTTCTGTGGATAAACTTGTTTGAAACTCTCGACAATTGCCCAGCCTTACTCTGTCCACCCAGTCACATACAGTAAACAACATTTCTCATCCACCCAGTCACATACAGTAAACAACATTTCTCATCCACTCAGTCACATACAGTAAACAACATTTCTCATCCACCCAGTCACATACAGTAAACAACATTTCTCATCCACCCAGTCACATACAGTAAACAACATTTCTCATCCACCCAGTCACATACAGTAAACAACATTTCTCATCCACCCAGTCACATACAGTAAACAACATTTCTCATCCACCCAGTCACATACAGTAAACAACATTTCTCATCCACCCAGTCACATACAGTGAGCCACATTTCTCATCCACCCAGTCACATACAGTAAACAACATTTCTCATCCACCCAGTCACATACAGTAAACAAAATTTCTCATCCACCCAGTCACATTCAGTAAACAAAATTTCTCATCCACCCAGTCACATACAGTAAACAACATTTCTCATCCACCCAGTCACATACAGTAAACAACATTTCTCATCCACCCAGTCATATTCAGTAAACAACATTTCTCATCCACCCAGTCACATACAGTGAGCCACATTTCTCATCCACCCATTCACATACAGTGAGCCACATTTCTCATCCACCCAGTCGCATACAGTGAGCGATATTTCTGATCCACCCAGTCGCATACAGTGAGCCACATTTCTCATCCACCCAGTCACATACAGTGAGCCACATTTCTCATCCACCCAGTCGCATACAGTAAACAACATTTCTCATCCACCCAGTCACATACAGTAAACAACATTTCTCATCCACCCAGTCACATTCAGTAAACAAAATTTCTCATCCACCCAGTCACATTCAGTAAACAAAATTTCTCATGCACCCAGTCACATTCAGTAAACAAAATTTCTCATCCACCCAGTCACATTCAGTAAACAAAATTTCTCATCCACCCAGTCACATTCAGTAAACAACATTTCTCATCCACCCAGTCACATTCAGTAAACAAAATTTCTCATCCACCCAGTCACATACAGTGAACAACATTTCTCACCCACCTAGTCGCATACAATAAACAACATTTCTCATCCACCAAGTCACATACAGTAAAAAACATTTCTCAGTGTCAGATAACAAACAAAGATGAACATTTGCTGGTCTATTCTTTGCCGTTTTTTTGTGCATCTCTTGGTCCACCTGCTTTCTCACTTGTCTGTCTGCCTCCATGTCTGCCTCCATGTCTGCCTCCATGTCTGCCTCAATGTCTGCCTTCATGTCTGCTCCCATGTCTGCCTCCTTCTGCCCCCAGGTCTGCTCCCATGTCTGCCCCCATGTCTGCTCCCATGTCTGCCTCCACTTCTACCCCTATGTCTGCCCCCATTTCTGCCTCCACTTCTGCCCCCATGTCTGCCCTCATGTCTGCCTCTATGTCTGCCTCCACTTCTGCCCCCATGACTGCCTCCATGTGTGCCTCCATGTCTGCCTCCATGTCTGCCTCCACTTCTGCCCCCATGTCTGCCCCCATGTCTGCCCTCATGTCTGCCCTCATGTCTGCCTCCATGTCTGCCCCCATGTCTGCCCCCATGTCTGCCTCCATGTCTGCCTCCATGTCTGCCCCCATGTCTGCCCCCATGTCTGCCCTCATGTCTGCCCTCATGTCTGCCTCCATTTCTGCCTCCACTTCTGCCCCCATGTCTGCCCCCATGTCTGCCCCCATGTCTGCCCCCATGTCTGCCACCATGTCTGCCTTCATGTCTGCCTCCATGTCTGCCCCATGTTTGCCTCCACTTCTGCCCCCATGTCTGCCCCCATGTCTGCCCCCATGTCTGCCCCTATGTCTGCCCCCATGTCTGCCCCCATGTCTGCCCCCATGTCTGCCCCCATGTCTGCCACCATGTCTGCCCCCATGTCTGCCTCCACTTCTGCCCCCATGTCTGCCCCCATGTCTGCCAACATGTCTGCCACCATGTCTGCCCCTATGTCTGCCCTCATGTCTGCCCCCATGTCTGCCACCATGTCTGCCCCCATGTCTGCCACCATGTCTGCCCCCATGTCTGCCTCCACTTCTGCCCCCATGTCTGCCCCCATGTCTGCCACCATGTCTGCCCCCATGTCTGCCCCCATGTCTGACTCCACTTCTGCCCCCATGTCTGCCCTCATGTCTGCCCTCATGTCTGCCTCCATGTCTGCCTTCATGTCTGCCTCCATGTCTGCCTCCATGTCTGCCCCCAAGTCTGCCTCCATGTCTGCCCCCATGTCTGCCTCCACTTCTGCCCCCATGTCTGCCTCCATGTCTGCCTCCACTTCTGCTCCCATGTCTGCCTCCATGTCTGCTCCACTTCTGCTCTCAAGTCTGCTCCCATGTCTGCTCCCATGTCTGCCCCCATGTCTGCCCCCATGTCTACATGCTTAACCTGCCTGCACGCCTGTTTCATGATCTCTTTTTTTCTTCTTTCCATCTTATGATCATTAAAGTGAAATACAAATTATTTTCTCGTGGTGTCTGTGTGAAGTAAGTCGGCGTGTCTGCATGTCCGTCAGTCCATCTCACCGCACATATCCCTAATCGGCCACTTTTTCCTCTGTCTGTGAGTCCATCCGAACGTATGTACCGTATGTCTGTCAGTCCGTTCGCCCGCCTGTAATACCGTCTTATAAACGTTGATAGAAAGTAGACAGACTTGGTATTGCCAAGAGTAGATAATTCGGGGCTTCCGTCCAGTCTGTCTGCGTGCTCACACAGACAAGCTCGCGCGACGCCAGATAACAGAGCAGAGAATTCACGGCACGAACCGCCGCCTCACACTCCCAGTACTTTTGGATAACTCCCTATTGATCTGTCATTCATGCCCCACCCCCCTCCACCCCCCCCCCCCCCCCGTACTGTTGGATAACTCCCTATTGATCTCTCACCCACCACCTCCCCCCCTCTCCCCCCCCCCCACCCACATCACAACAACTCGCTCCTCTCTAAAATATGCTGTGGAAACGCAACTACCACATCCACAACCCTCCTCCCTCCCTCCGGCACAACCGACTCAGCGATAACGTTTTTATATTGCTTTAATTCCCCAGATTCGAGTATCCCCGAGGTCTGTCCTTCGTTGCTGTCCAACAAATCCCCTCAGTAACACTCATTTGTGACAGCCCCCGCTTCCACGCAGCAACTGCAGCAATTTCACCGACATCATCGTTAGAGGCAACAACATCATCGGCAGCCTGTGTGTGCAGAGATGTCAGTTCACAAGGAGGACAGAAGTGCCTCATTGTTCTTACTTCCCTGATCGAGCGTACGTGTCCGAACCGAGTGCGCCAGCCTTCTGTGGTTTTTCCGCCGCACTTCTAGTCTGCTGTCAGGAGGCTTTTGTCTGAGAGAGTTAGCTGCCCGTGCCTGGGCGACACTTCCATTGCAGTTTGATGCTTGCAGTTCATCCGGAGAGCCGGCTAGACCTTCCAGAGTCAGTGTGGTAAGTGTCCTAGTCAATCTTGTTACTGTGTTTTGTGTATGTTATAGAATACATTGTTTTTGTGCCAGATCGTATCTGTACTGTTATTGTTACTGTTTCATGATTTTTTTGTTGCAGCGTTAATATCTTTGATCTGTGACAAGACGCCGACGCGCGCACACACACACACACACGCGCGCACACACACATACAAACAAATCACTGGTGGTGGTTGGGGGAGCTTTCTACAAGTGAGTAAAATAATAATGATCTTAATTTTAGTTTACCAAACGGCAGATAAATATAATTATATATTTAAATCACATCGATTTATAACGTGTGCTGATGTGGTGCACTTTGTCGTGTGCCTGTGTTGCTGACTTGGTGCATTGTATTGACATTGTCCTTTCGCAATGTAAAGCCGAGATTTGAACACTGAATTTTAGAATTAGAATCTTAGCCGTTAAAATATCGGTGTACATTTGTCATTGTCTGATTTATACATTTTTTTTAAATGCAAGATTTCATTGCATCTGGTAATTTGCTTGAAATGTTTCCAAAAATTGTTTTTTTTGGGGGGGGGGGGGGTGGGAGGGTGGGGGATTGGGGGGGGGGGGGGGGGGGTGCTTTCTCGTCTTCAGTTATTTAATTAAAAAAATTATTCAAGTTAAACGACACATAGACTGTACACTGAGCGATCAACACCCTGTGACACAAAGTGCAGTGCGTCATAACTCGGATGATAATCCCCCTAGAGACAGAAACCCAGTACAACCTTCAGGTTATATTAGGGCTCCCCGACGCGGCGGGAATGTGATAACAAAATTGTTTGTCTCATGTCGGACAAATTAATTGACTCACAGATGAAATTTCAGTCCTTGACCGACACCCACGACCTTCTGATTCGCAGACGAGCGTCTAGCCGCTCCGCCACGGCGACTCCAGTTAGTAATATGTTACACCTCAAATATTTGTCACAACGATAACGTGATAAGTTTGGACATCAGTTATTTCTAGGAACAATAGTAAGATAATTTTGGCGATCAGTTATTTCTAGGAACAATAGTATGATAATTTTTGCCATCACTTATTTCTAGGAACAATAGTATAATAATTTTGGCCATCAGTTATTTCTAGGAACAATAGTATAATAATTTTGACCATCAGTTATTTCTAGGAACAATAGTATAATAATTTTCGCCCTTTGTCCCCCAATGATTATATGAGAGTAGCGATCACAGTTATTTCTCGCAACTATAAAGCAATAATTTCGGTCCTTTGTATTTGTTTGCCGCAATAATAACATAATGCAGGCTTCAGTTATGTCTGGCAAAAACAGTGATATATTTTACCCTCGCTTCTTACTCGCAATGATAGTATGATAGTGTGTGTCCTCATGTGTTTCCTGTAGTGATAAAATAAAAACACTATTCCCACTTGTATCTGGCAATAATTATGTGATCATTGCAGTTTCTAATTTATATAGTAGTACACAATGTACTATTCTCTAGTTTCGTCCTTTTATGACGAAATTTTTTGTTATTTGAAGCCCCACCCTGGCTTTTGCCGGGGGCCACAATATAGGCAGGCCATAAATATGGCCAATTGTCTGAACGCGGTTTGTGGGACCTCTCCACGGCGATCCTCATCCACGTGGTGGCACTTTGTGTCATCGGGTGTTTATCGCTTGTGTGATGTCCTGGTTGGGTAGAAAGTCAGTCAGTCAGTCAGTCAGTCAGTCAGTCAGTCAGTCAGTCAGTCTAATTTAACTTATGTCAGCCCATTTAAAAAGACCTTTTCATTTTCAGCTTACGTAATGAGAAATAATAACGATTCGTGTGTTCCTGTACTTTGTGTACATCAAACTCCCCTTTACAGCTGCAGTCGGCTCTAGGGCTAAGTCGATGTGAACGATTCGTAATGCCGGGGTACCGGGTTCGATCCCAGCTGTGGGCCATACGCATTGGGTTGGTTTCGACAGTGGTATCAGGGAGCTGACCGTCCAGAACCATGGAAAACTAATGGACGTAAATTTGTCTAGTGAAACCACACAACAGCCAGGGTCTGATGGGGTTGGTTCTGCAACGTCCTGTCAAGGATACGCAACTTACCTTTTTTTACAGCTGCAAGAAGTCTGGTGATTCAAATTACCCCAAGTCTACCGCACCCCTCCCCCACCCCCTCTCCCTCGCCACACACACATACACTGAGAATGGGCTTGACGTCAGAAAGTAACCGTATCTTGTGGAACTCTCAGTTACATATTCTTGGTTGTCCATAGCAAGTATCATGTGACCGCTGCCGTCTCTTGCCTGTCTCCAGAAATAAAATTAGTGGACATCCAATATCTGTCATTACTTTCACTAATATTGCTTGACCATCCATAGGATACTGCCCACTAAGGTTAATCCTAGCGTCTGGCTATACCTGGATTACTGCTCACTCACATCATTATCTATTTGTGGCCGTCCCTTGATTACTGCTCACTCACATTATTTTCGACCTATGGCTGTCCCCGTTACTTCTCACTCAGATTATTATCGATTTGTGGCCGTCCCTGGGTTACTGCTTATTCAGATTATTACCGATCTTGGGCGTCCTGGGTTACATCTCACTCAAATTGTAACCGATCTGTGGCCGTCCCTGGGTTACTGCTCACTCAGATTATTACCCATCTGGTAAGATTTCTGGGTTACTGCTCACTTAGATTATTACCCATCTGGTAAGATTTCTGGGTTACTGCTCACTTAGATTATTACCCATCTGGTAAGATTTCTGGGTTACTGCTCACTTAGATTATTACCGATCTGTGACCATTCCTAGGTTACTGCTCACTCAAATTATTACTGATCGTTACCGTCCCTAGATTACTGCTCACTCAGATTATTACCGATCGTGGCTGTCCCTAGGTTACTGCTCACTCACATTATTACCGATAGTGAAGTACCTGGATTACTGTTCAATTAGGTTAATGCAGATATGTGATCATACCTAAATTACTGCCCACTCATATTAATGCCGGTTTCTGGCCATCCCTGAATTAATATGAACTCACGGCCACCCTCAAATCACCGCCCTTTTATTAAAGCACTGCCCAATCATCGTACGGGTGTCGACCCGGGGTAATTGCTGGATTACCGTCTACTCAGAATAATACAGGTCTGTGCTACAGTCAGTATCATAGACAGTCAGTATCACAGTCAGTATCACAGATAGTCAGTATCTCAGACAGTCAGTATCACAGACAGCCAGTATCACAGACAGCCAGTATCACAGACAGCCAGAATCACTGACAGCCAGTATCACAGACAACCAGTATCACAGACAGCCAGTATCACAGACAGTAAGTATCTCAGACAGTCAGTATCACAGACAGTAAGTATCTGAGACAGTCAGTATCACAAACAGTAAGTATCTCAGACAGTCAGTATCACAGACAGTCAGTATCACAGACAGCGAGTATCACAGACAGCCAGTATCACAGACAGTCAGTATCTCAGATAGTCAGTATCACAGACAGTAAGTATCTCAGACAGTCAGTATCACAGACAGTCAGTATCACAGACAGTAAGTATCTCAGACAGTCAGTATCACAGACAGTCAGTATCTCAGACAGTCAGTATCACAGACACGCCTGCCAATGTTTAACTGTGCCTGAGAAGACATCGTCATCAATTACCCCATCAAATCAATGCCCAGTGAATTTGTATTTTCTTGTTAGTTAATTTTTCGTTTATTTTTTAATGTATTATTTTGTTTTCTACTCTGACCAACGTAGTACAGTCGCGGATACAGTTAGAGGACACTCGCACGCACGCACGTACACACACACACACACACACACATGCACACATCGACACACACAGAGAAGCTCGGGCTTACACACACACACACACACACAGAGAGAGAGAGAGAGAGAGAGAGAGAGAGAGAGAGAGAGAGAGAGAGAGAGAGAGAGAGGCTCTTGACGTGGTAATGGAGACAGTGTACATATTTGAGCATGTCATGGGAAAAGGAAGACGGACTTACAGGGTAACAGTGGGAAAGTTGCAGTGTGAAGATAAACAGAA